CCCCCTCTTGAGGGATTTAGGGAGGTTTGGTGCCAGGTTTGGGTTAACACCTTGCCCTGGCTCAGCTCCTGGATAGCCCAGGACCCTCCACCCCTGCTCTGCACCAGCAACATCCCACCCACAGCCTGAGGAGCCTGGGAAGGAAAACCTGCCCAGCATCACTCCCATCAAACAGGGCCTCTGAGGAGATCAGAGCTATGCAAGCCTCCTTCAAAGGGCTCTGAATGTTCCCTGTGTTCTCCCTTTAATCTTGGGAGGAGCAGGGAGAGAAAAGGGGGAGGAGGAGAACACAGAACTGAGGAATATCTGCTGCAGGTGGAGCAGGGAAGTGGGATAAGGAAGGGCTTTGATCAATCTGGGATCTGGAACACAAACACTGCCCTTCCCGTTGCAACACGAGAGAGCCCCAAATGAACCTCCTGCAGCAGCTGCAGCCCCGTCACCCCTGCTGGCAAAGCCTCTTCCAGCACATCCCAGGCTGGATCAGGTGCCCAGGCAAGGCTGTCAATAAGCACAGAGAATCCCCTTCCCCACTCTGAAGAGGCTGATTATAAAAATAACATGTAAACCTGGGTTTTAAATAAATAAATAAATAAATATAAACCCAGGACCCCTCCAGAAAGGCACAGCTGGTTGTGCAGAACTTGTTTAGGTTTTACAGAAGCGTCCCAGGGCTAAAGTTATGGACAATCATCAGTTTGAGACACTTGGTTATCAGAACATCAGCTCCACCCTCGTGCCAGGGATTTGTGAAGAGTGAGAAGGTCCCCCCTGAGCCTCCTTTTCTCCAGGCTGAGCCCCCCCAGCTCCCTCAGCTGCTCCTGCTGCTCCAGCCCCTTCCCAGCTCCATTCCCTTCCCTGCACACGCTCCAGCCCCTCCAGGTTCTTCTGGCAATGAGGGTCAGGACATACCAACAGCAAAACCTGCACCAGCCCCATTGCCCTGCGAGACTTCCCAGCCCTTTTCTCGGTTATTGGGGGATCCGACCTGCCCGTGGGGTTTCACCCCCCACGCTCCCCATCCAGGGGAGAAATTCCCACTTGCCAAAGACAGCTTGGGGTGGGGGGGAGCTGTGGATGACTCGACAAGCGGCGTTTCCCGGGGAGAGGCAGCTCGGGCTGCTCGTTTAACAGCTCATTATTCACGTCTTTGATGCTTTCTCGGTGTTTTGTAAATAACGCGTGTTTAGCACTAGAGATGATTTAAAAGCAGCTGATCCGATCTGATCTGAGCCCCCGGCAAAGAGGATGAGCCTCGGAGCGGGTTGAGCTCCCCCAAAGGTGAGGATTATGTTGTTATCAGCATCCCGAAAAAAATCCCAGGGATGGGAAAAGCCAGAGACAGGATGGAGGAGATGGAGCTGCTCTGGTGCCCGAGACTGGAGGAGGTGAATGGACGTGTCCCTTGTCCCCCGTGGCTTCCAACCCACCAAAGTCCCTCTCCAGCTCTCCTGGAGCCCCTTTAGGCTCTGGAAGAGGCTCTCAGGTCTCCCTGGATCCTTCTCTTCCCCAGGTGAACCCCCCCAGCTCTCCCAGCCTGGCTCCAGAGCAGGGGGGCTCCAGCCCTGGCAGCATCTCTGGGGCCTCCTCTGGACCTGCTCCAGCAGCTCCAAACCCTTCTGATGTTGTTGTCCAGGGCTGGAGGCAGCTCTGCAGGGGGATCTTACCTGAGCAGGGCAGAGGGGCAGAATCCCCCCCTGCCCTTTAGGACATGGTGGATTTTGGGGCTGCCAGACCCCTCAGCTGGGACCTGTGGAGCTTCTCAGCAACCAGGATGCTGAGAATTCATTCAAGCCACTGGTTTGCTGTTGGAGGTGGGTAGTGCCACCTCTGTCACGTTTCCACGAACATTTCCTGGCATGAGAACATCTCCTGGGATGGGAGATCCTCCCAGCTTCTCCTTTTTGGAGTTTGCTCCTGGTGCAGGTGACTGGAGGAGGCAAATGGACACGTCCCTTGTCCCCCTGTCACCCAGCTGGGATGGCAGGTGGCTTCCAACCCACCTGCAAACAAGGGACTGCTCCTTGCATCACATTTGGGGGGATTTTCTCCCATCAGGATTGAATCACAATTTTTTCCCCCAAGGAATCACTCCATTCTGAATTCTTTCAAGGTTTTTGAGTGTGGTGTGGGGTTTTTTTTTGTTGGTGGTGGGGTTTTTGTGTGTTTTGGTTGGTTGGTTGGGGTTTTTTTTTGTGTTTTGGTTGGTTGGTTGGTATTGTTTGTTTGTTTGTTTGTGGGTTTTGTTTGGTTTTTTTTTGTTTGTTTGGTTGTGGGTTTGGGGTTTTTTTGTTGTTTTGTTTTGATTTGTGTTTTTTTTTTTTTTTTTTAGGGCTGGAGTATCTTTTTGCAAACCTCATCAGTTTTGATCTGTCCTGAGAAAGGTTTTTTTTTGGCTTAGAGATCTGAATTAGGAAGATGCCATCAGTCACTGTGCAAGGTCCCATGGCTGGGGCAGCCCAGGAGAGGCACCAGCCCATCATCCCGATGGATTTGAGCCCACCCTGAAGTGGGAGAAGGGGGAAATGCATCACTGAAGCAGAAACCACCCCCGGGGAATCATGGAATGCCCTGGGCTGGAAGGGACCTTTAAAGCTCATCTTCCTCAGTCTTTCCAAGTGGTAACAGAGGAAGGTCTGGGGAGGAAGGGATTTGAACGCTGCCCTTCCTCCAGTTAATTCCCAGATGTTTTTCCTGTAACCACCCTAAACGATTCAGGAGCCGGGCCAGCTGAAGGCAGAGCTGATGGATGACGGGTCTGCTCGCGGGAACGTTTTCCTGCTGGAGATTTTTGGGAAACAAATCTATTTATCCTCATTCCGAAGCGAAACACCTTCCCCCCCTCCCCAGCCCGAGTGACTCAGCCCTGAGTCAGGGAACAGCAGGAGCAGCAAGGAGCGATCCAGGCTGTGCCAGGGAAGGAGGGGCTGGAGCAGGCACAGGGATTTGGGCACAGGACTCCTCCAGCTCTCCCTGCTTTTAAGGGGTTAAAATAATTTGGGCCCGTTTTGCCCTTAGGAGGGAACTTCCCGAGGCTCCAGGGTGGGTGTTGAAGCAACAGGTCCCACTGGGCTGGGAGTGGCACCAGGACTCAGATTGTGCCCTGGCTTGGGGTAAAACCCCACAAAAGAGAGGGAGGAGAGTTCTTTGGGAGGGTCCTGGGCAGCACCGGGGCAGGAAGGGGGATGGGGACCACAAGCAGCACCACAGGCTGAAGGCTGGCTGTGACCCAGATGGAAAACTATGGAAAATGGGTTGGAATTACTCAATTATTAATCCAAATGTATTTAGAGCACCACGAGATGGGCTGATCCTGCAATCATGACATTGGAGAGGTTTTCTTCCCCTGACCTTTGGCAGAACAGAAAACTCCTCACTGAAATAAAATCACTTTTCTCCCTGGGCACATCCCATTTTCCATTAAAGATTCCCTGTGGACAACCCCCCCACCCCCACCCCCAGGAGCGAGAGCCAACCTGTTCCAAAGGCCAGAAGCAATTCCAGGTGAGGCAGGAATGCTGCTCTTGGAGAGAGGTCCAAGTCCCTTCCATTCCCAGCACATCCAGAGCACGATCCCAGAGAGATCCCAGCAGAGATGGGACTTGTCCAGCTGGGAACTCCTTGGGTAGGAGGATCACGGGGGGGTGTCTGCGCTGGAAGATTTTTCCTGAGCTCGAGGTAATTCCAGAGGGATTGCAGAGGTGAATCCTGACCAAAGGGCTCTTGGAGCAGCCTGCAGGTGCCAGCTGGACCCCAGGAGGAACCAGGTGGTCCTGGTTCCATTCTTCTAGGACAGCTCAGGTGCCAATTGCCATGGGAATGCTGGGCACTGACCTCAGGAGGGCACACACCCCGACCCCTGCACTGCTCTCTGAGCCCTGGAAAACAGCAGGGAGGGAGTGTGAGGATACAGGGAGGATCAGGGAAAGATGGAGGGAGCACAGGGAGGACATGGGAGATGGATGGAGGGAATGTGAGGACAGCGGGAGGATCAGGGAAGGATGGAGGGAATATGAGGACACGGGGAGAGGATGGAGGGAGCACAGGGAGAACCAGAAAAAGAAGGATGGAGGGAGCACAGGGAGGACATGGGAGAAGGATTGAGGGAGCCTGAGGACACAGGGAGGATCAAGAGGGATAGAGGGAACATGGAGATATGGGGAGGATCTGGGAGAATCCTTCCTGGGATAGTGGGCAGGCCCTGGCACAGGTTGCCAGAGAAGCTGTGGCTGCCCCAGCCCTGGAAGTGTCCAAGGCCAGGTTGGAGCAACCTGGGCTGGTGGAAGGTGTCCCTGCCCATGGCAGGAGGATTGGAATGAGATGATCTTTAATGTCCCTTCCAGCCTAAACCATTCCAGGATTCCACAATCCCATCACTTGCCCGGCTCACACATTATTATATATTATTTACTGTGTTTCTGTTAATCTTTTCTGAAGCTCAGAAAGCAAAACTGTATTAATATATTTCATTTCCTGCATCTTCCAACCCAAACCATTCTGGGGTGCTACGATTTTGTTTGAAATGATGGTCAGGAAGGGTGTCCATCACCCACAGACACAGCAGTGCCCTCCCTCACAAAGCCCTGCACAGCAGCCACACACCAAAGGTGCTCTGGGCAAAAATTACTTTTATTTTTCTTCTTTAGAAACACTTTTTACAGCTTAAGAAACGGGGCTTGCTTTTTAAAGAGAAAGAAAAGCACCATTCCAGGGATTCTCAGCACCCACAGCTCCGTGGGATGAGCAGGAAGAGGGAGCGCTGGGAACACCTTTGATCCAAAGCTCCTGGAGTTGCACAAGGGAACAGATCCCCATGAGAGCAGGATTGAGGGGTGTGCCCACCTTCAGCTCTGGGTGTGGATCCAACTGTTCCTGCTGCTGGTTCAGTTGGTTCCTGGGATGGGTTTGGCTGGAGCAGGACCTGCAGCCCTGAGGGAGGAGGGGGTACCCAGGGGTGGGAGCCAGGGAAGAGGGCTGGGAGGCCACCTGGTTCAGCCATGTGGGAACTGAGGGCCCAGGGTTTGCCCACAGAGGCTCCAACCCTTGGGGATGCAGCGAGGAGGGACAGGGAATTCCCTCTTTATTTAAAAGCCATTTTCCAGCCAGGCTCCAGCACCTCCAGAGCGCCCAGGGCATCAAAGAGCAACCCCTGGGCCCTGTCACCTGACCCTGTGGCTGGATGTCACCTCTCCAAAGGGGAACAGTTGGGTTTCTTGATCCCAGAGACCTGGACTGGGTCTGGTTTCCATCTCCACCCAGTTCTCCATCCCGAGGATCAGCGAGGCTGTGGAGCTTCCCAGGGGAGCAGAGGGAGCTCCATGCCTGATGTCCAGATCCCAGGGACACTGGGCACACACAGCCAGGGCTCTGAGGGATTGTACCTGTTGTTCAGGGCTGCTGGGAGTGGGATAACACTGCTCAGGAACATCCACTCCCAAACCCAGGAAGCTGGAAGATACTTGGAGAGGTATCAGAAATCACAGCTGGTGTCAACAGGGGGGCTGTTACTCACACCATTCCCAAGTTTCAAGCATGGGATGAAGTTTTTACAGGAATTAAATACATAACCCTGAACTAAATCCATACAATGATATTCCCAGCAGGGCTCAGGTTCTTCAATCCAACACCTGCCCTGATCCAACAAGCTCGTGGGGTTGAAATCCCTGTGGCACTCTTCCTTGTGGATATGGAATTTTCCTTGTGGATGTGGTTTTGCTGCCAAGCTGGGGGCCAGATGAGCCAGGCTCTCCTCACACAGGGCACTGGAATCCAAGGAATGCTCCTGCTCCACATCCAACCCCAAACCACATCCAACTCCAAAGGTGGCCCCAGCTGCTGCCTCCCCCCATGCTGAGAAATCACTGCCATGAACCACTTCTGATTTGGGAGAGAGGAATGTTATAAATATTTTCAGCCAGGAAGCCCTAAAACCAGGAGGGAAGGGTTAAATTAAGGCTTGACCCCCCTGCTCAACAGCACATTTGGGATAAGGTCGATGGAAAGATCCAGAATCGGTGTCAGCCGGAAACAGAGTCCCAAAGCTCAGCAGCCGGAGATGTCCCGGGCCTTGTTCCTGCGCTGGAATCTGACATCCAGGGGGTCAAAGCCCCTCTCCCTGGCCCCAAAGAGAGCCCAGGGGGGAGTCCTGGCCGTGTAATCAGCCGCTGTGAAGGTCCTGGAGCCGCCGCTCCGCTCGCGCTCCCGCACCAGCTCCTGGAAGCGCTCGTAGTCGATCCAGGTGAACCACTCGCCATCCACCTTGAACTGGAGGGAAAACAAACCTGTTAGGGAGCGATGGGAGGTACCAGATCCACATTTCTGCCAGAACAAGATGGGTTTGCACTGAATGGATGCCAGCTGCTGGCATTTTTAACTTGGTAGCCCACCCTGGGGTGCCGGGCAAAGACATCCCGAGTGGCCTTCATGGGAAACCAAAACAAATCCAGGTGGATGAACATCCTCATCCAGAGGGTTGGAGAACACCTGCAGGCACAGGATCCCTGGGTTCCTCACAGCTTTAGTCACTGAGGGCTGTTTGCTCTGGAGCCAGGCTGGGACAGCTGGGGGGGTTCACCTGGAGAAGAGAAGGATCCAGAGAGACCTGAGAGCCCCTTGCAGGGCCTAAAGGGGCTCCAGGAGAGCTGGAGAGGGACTGGGGACAAGGCATGGAGGGACAGGACACAGGGAATGGCTTCAAAGTGTCAGAGGGCAGGGAGAGATGACATATTGGGAATAAACTCCTGGCTGTGAGGGTGGGCAGGCCCTGGCACAGGTTGCCCAGAGAAGCTGTGGCTGCCCCAGCCCTGGGAGTGTCCAAGGCCAGGCTGGACGGGGCTTGGAGCAAGCTGGGCTGGTGGAAGGTGTCCCTGCTCATGGCAGGGGGTTGATCTGGATGATCTTTAAGGTCCCTTTCCACCCAAACCATTCCATGATAATTTCCATGAGGGTTTGAGTGTTGGATGCTTTGCTGGGCCCTCCAAAGTACCGGATTCCAAACCCCCTCCAGCCTCACTTTCCAGGAGGAACATTCCCATGGAGCTTCCCAGAGCCTTCCCAGGCCTGTCTGCGGTTCCCAGGTGACACTCACACCTGGAGGAACTGGAAAAGCCCTGGAGGACACGTGTAAATGAGAGATTGATGCCCAGGTGCCCCTTGGGGGCCAAGGTCAACCAAAGCTCCTGCTCGGATCGTGCATCTCCAGCTCCAGGGCAGCACAGCCTGGAAAAATGGCACAGGAGCAGCATCAGAGCAGGGCCTGGGATGGATTTTGGCAATTCTTGACAGGGGCAGAGGGCTGTGTTTGGGAAGGGGGGAGGATAAAGAGGTTTAACGACACCAATCCTCTTTCCATGTGAGAATGTGAGGAATTGCTTACTCTGACAGGCTGAAGCTGCGTTTGTCTCCCAGACCTGCTCTGCTAATTTAGCAACAGCCCTGACTGAATCCTCAATTAGGATTTATCTGAGCTAAGAGCTTATTATGCATTTCATCCAAAGGAAAAAAAAAAAAAAAGTGAGGGAAAACAGCCTGACTCTCTGGTTGTGGTGGGGTTTTTTTTTATCCCACCAAACTTGATGGCTGTGCATTTAAAGTGGCACTTGACTTTGTGCCCGAGAGCTAAAAGCTTTTTTGGTAGGAAAAACTGCTGACAACTGCAAAATCCTGCACTCAGACACGGGAAACGCTCATCCATTGCTGCCTCTGGAATTACAGCACGTTCCTACTGGGATTGGCCTCCCCATGGAGCAGGGAGGGGACACTGCAGAGTCACAGCTCTGGGGGACAAGTCTTGGCACAAAGCACCTCACTTTTCCCGTGCCGAGGTGGGTGATGTGTTGGGAGAGGCCACCTGTAAAGCAAGTGCCCCAAAACACCTGCTCCCAAATTCTGGAGCTCTGGAGAGCTCCCAGAGCTCTGGGTTCCCCTCCCTGTGGAGGTGGGAGGGGACAGTTTCACACCCCACAGAAGGGTCTGCTCCCCGCCAGGTTTGATTCAGCCACACTCAGCAACCTCTCCCACCAATTAATCCCCAATCCAGGGGATCCAGCAAAGCCTTGAAGGCACGTGGGAGATGTTGGGATTATTCCCATGATGGGTTTGGAGCACTCCCAGAGGGTCACACGGGTCCTCAGGGAGCCTCGAGGCCACCTGAGAGAAACCCAGCACAGACAGAGAGCTGAGGCTTGATCCTGGCCCTTTTCCTTGGAAAACCAGGGTGGAATCACAGAATCACTAAGGTTGGAAAAGACCTCCAAGACCATTGAGTCCAACCTGTGATGGGATCACAAAGGGATGGAAGGGGGGGCTCACAAAGAGCCCTTCACCCCATGGCCAAGGGGGGCTCAGCAGGAGTAGCAAAGCCCCAGGAGATGCTGGTGCCACCCAGGGCAGCTGGAATGAGGACATGGACTGGGGCCACCACCCCAAATGAGGGTGAGGACAGTTCATCGAGGCCAAGTGCAAGGTCCTGGCACCTGGGTCAGACACAAATCCAGGCACAAATGCAGGCTGGGCAGAGCAGGATGGAGAGCAGCCCTGGGGAGAAGGGCTTGGGGGCGTTGGTGGATGAGAAGGTCAGCACGGAGTCATGGAATGGCCTGAATCATGGGAAGGGACCTGGAAGATCCATTCCAGTTCCCACTGGAATGGAACATCTTCCCACTTGGATGGGGAATCCCAAGGTTGCTTGGCTTGGAATCATTGAAATGCCGAGCTGGAAGGAGCCAGGACTGCAGGGACCTGGGTCAGGAGGTGCCTGAGCAGAGGTGATGCCATGTGGAATGTGGGAGCTGGGAATGAGATCCCACTCCAGCTCCTGATCCCTGTCCCCACCATCGGCCACTCCTCCAGGCAGCATCAAAAAGGCACCTGGAAAAACGATCCTGAGTCCTGAACTCCTTCCTTTCCACCTGAGGATAAACAAAGGAGCTTTTCCAGCCTCACACCCAGAGCGATTTAACAGATCGTAAATCAGGGCGTTCTCAGCACCTGCCACGGTGAAGTTCTCCAAGACAAACAAATAATTCAGGGAATCATTACCCACAGTTTCTCACCTAATTAAGGCTTACAATTATTTAAGGCTCCCTCTGTCTGACAGTGGCAGTGTCAGAACTGGAATCACTCGGCAAAACAAGGAGATATATTGTGGAGAAATGAATCTGAGGGGGGCCATGTGGTGTTCAAAAAGCCACAGACTCCTCCTTTTTAATGATGTGTTGCAACCTCAGGCTCGAGGGGCAAGAAATTAAGATGGAGCTGGTTTTTAGGTTGCCCAGGTTGCTCCAACCTGGCCTTGGACACTCCCAGGGCTGGGGCAGCCACAGCTTCTCTGGGGAACCTGTGCCAGGGCCTCCTCACCCTCCCAGGGAACGATTCCTTCCCAATATCCCACCTGACCCTGCCCTCCTTCCCCTTAAGGCCATTTTTACCTTCTCTTCCTGCACCTGCAACTTAAAACCCAGTTTAATCTGAATTTCTTCCTCCTCGAGCCCGAGGTTGCAACTAATCAGGGAAAAGGAAAAGTTTGGAGCTTTCTGAACCCAACATGACCCTGCTCAGACTATTTTCTCAACATTGTGTTTCTCAAAAAAGTGGAACAACCCCAAACTGACCTGATCTGAGCCTGTGCCCCTGGGATCCCCCCTAACCCTGGGAGTTATTGTAAAGAAAAGCTTCATTACTGCAGATTTATTTGGGTTTAATCCCCCCCCTACCCTTGACACTGAGTGGAGCAGCTCCTCTGCCAGCTGAGCCAGGGCTGCATCCAGACAGTTTTAATTCCAGTGGATCAAACCAGGATTACTGTGGCACAACAGAGATCTCCTGTTAATAACTAAAATATCAAGCCCAGCAGAGCCCCCTTCCTGCTGGAAGGGGACACAGAAAGGCAGGAAAACCTTGAGGAAACACAACATCCCCTGCTCACACCTGCAGTGGGGGTGCTGCCTCTGGATCTGGGATCACAAGGACACTTCCACTCTCCAAACGACTGGCAAGGCAGGAAGGAAAGGGGCTGTGATGGACTCTCTGTCTCTGCTGTGCCCCTCGTGGGTGCAGCTGGCACTGAAGTGCTTCCTCTCCCTCCCTAAATATAGACCAAAAGCTCAGCCTGGAATATCTTCACCTCCTCTGCAGCCTCTCCAAGCACAGCCAGGACCCCCATGGAGCCTCCACAGCCCCCACAGGGATGACACTGCCGAGGAAAAGGCCAATTCCCACTTTCCTGGGAGGATTTGGGGGTTGATGGAGAGTGATGAGCACGTTTGGACAGGATTCCACGTCCCCCAGCTCAGTTTAGATCACCCCTGACAGCAGCCTGGGGACACCCTCAGCACTGCAGGGCCATGGGGGCATGGAATGGGTTGGGAAGGGGTATTAAAGCTCACCTCATCCCACCCCCTGCCATGGCAGGGACACCTTCCACACCTTCCAGTTGCTCCAACCTGGCCTTGGACACTTCCAGGGATGGGGCAGCCCAAGCTTCTCTGGGCAACCCGTGCCAGGGCCTTCCCCCCTGAACAGGGAAATGAACTTTATTCCCCAAAGCATCTCCCTGGGGTCACTTGGGGATGCCAGGGACACCCTGCCCTGCTGGAGGACACACCACCATCCCAGGGCACACCCAAGAGGGGAGCAATCCCAGGGGTGCCACCAGGGAGGGCTGGAGCACCACGAGGGATCATCTGGATCCCGGGTATGGACACTCTGCTTGTGGAATTCTTTGTTTTAGGTCGTAGGGAGGTGGGGGTTGGTCTCTTCTCCCAGGGAACAAGGGAGAGGACAAGAGGAAAGGGCCTCATGTTGTGCCAGGGGAGGTTTAGGCTGGATATCAGAGAAAAATTCCTTCATGGAAAGGGTGGTCTGGCACTGGAAGGGGCTGCCCAGGGCATTGGTGGAGTCTCCATCCCTGGAGGTGTTCCCAAAACATGTGGACGTGGCACTTTGGGACAGGATTTAGTGGTGACCATGGTGGTGGTGCTGGGATTTTCCAACCTGTCCAATTTCATGATTCCAAGTCAGACATACAAGATTTCCAAAGGCAGAAAAGGCTGAAGGCAGCTCACTGAGAGCTCCAGAGAGAGCAAAGCACTGGGATTCCAGGAATATTCCCAGTGCTCTGCATGGCTAATTGCCATAGAAATCAACCCTGGCACAACAGGGAAGAGGCAGGGATGCTCAGACATGGAATCACAGTGCTCTACCAGAGAACTGTGGGATCCCAGGGACCTGGGAATTACGGAGTGCCAGCCTGGCTGAGGAGCAGAGGGAGCAGCACTGACAAGGAATTTGAGTCTGGAAAGCAACAGGGAACTGGAAAAAAACCCCACAGGCTCCAGCAAGGCAGAGATTTAAATGAAAAAAACAGGGGATAATTGTCAGGAAGTGCTTTGGGAGAGGGTGGAACACACACATGTAAAGCAAATTCAACACGGTGGGGCAGGAGCTTTTAGCCTAGAAATGCCCAAGAGGTCAAATTTCATTCATAAAAACCTTCCCTGAGAGGAAGATGCAGCACATCCCCCCTTCTTGGGCACTTGTTCTGGTCATCCCGAGGATATAAGGATTGTTCCAAGCCTGGAAAAGCAGCAGCCTGAGGCTCCTCTCCGGGAAAGGTCACTTGAATGCACGACAGGCAGGGAAGGGGAAGAGATCCCACATCCATGGGAGCCCAGGCCAAGGCAAGGAGAGCTGCCCTCATCCTTCAGAAGGACACAACCCTTCCCTGGAAGTGTCCAAGGCCAGGCTGGACGGGGCTTGGAGCAACCTGGGCTAGGGAAATGTGGCAGGGGGTGGGATGAGATGAGCTTTAAGGTCCCTTCCAACCCAAACTATTCCATGAGCCAAAGACACTGATGGCCCCAAACCCATGGAAATCCCAGTAACTGATGGATTTTCAGGTCTCAGGTGTTCCCTGGGTTCATTTTTAGGGCTCTGTGAAGGGCAACTGGAAAAGGAACATTTTGCTGTGAGGCTTCAGTTTGTGAGACCTCTTAAGCTCTCCTGGGATGGTCCAGGAGGGGCAGATCCAAAGCTCTCCTGGGATAGTCCAGGAGGGGCAGATCCAAAGCTCTCCAGGGTTAAGTGGGACACATTTCAGTCCTTGAGCCTCCCTGAGTCCTGCAGGCTTCCTCCAGCTCCTCTCCTGCACCCACAGACACATGTTCAGACAGCAGGAAGCAGGGAAAAACAAGGGATGTGTGTGTGGGAAGACACCTGGAAGCTCAGTGGGAGATTTTGAAGACAATGAAGAACCCCCTAAAATTATTCCCCAGCTCCAACCTCAGTGTCACCTCTTCGTTTCAGGGAGAAGAAAATAACACCAGACCTACAAACTGCAGTTTCCTCTCCCTTAATTCCCTTTTTCTCCCTAAATCCCTGGCCTCAGGAGACTCCAGAGCTTAAGTCCTAAACTATCATTCATCACACAAGCAGGTGCCAATCAATGGATCTCCATCAATCAAGGCAGGATGAATTATTTCTGACATTCCCAGACTCTTTTCCTCCAGGCTGTCATTCCACATTGATGTTAAAATGATGATGAGCATTGTCTGAACACCCCCAAACTCCGAACACAGGGAAATAATGTCCCATTTCTCCGTGATTTTTATTACAGCCTTCCTGCAACTCCTTAATTTGTTAAAGGGCCCTTTGATTTTGCCATTACTCACTCCAGTCTGATCATTCCCAGGGCACAGGTTTGCTGCAAATAATAGACACTGACAAATTTTATTCTCCACTAGAGCCTGAAATGCAAAAATTAAAAACCTAATCGAAATAAATCTATTTTTTATTAGTTATTTTAGTACTGGGGACAGATTGTTTCCCAAAGACACCCTCTGCTAATAGCTCTGGAAGGCAAAGCAGCTGCTGAATTCCTCTTGGGCAGGTAGCAGTTTATTCTTGTTACTGAGGGTGTTACTTAAATTATGCATCAATAGGGTCGGTGCAATCTGTTTGTTTTCCTTCCCCTGGACCTCAGAATGGAAAAGAATATTTGGATTTCTCAGGCACAGTTGTCAGTGGCAACAACCAGAAGCGAGGCCGTAAATAAAGCAAATTTTAGGGGGCTTAAAACAGAATTAGTGCCAGGTATCCTGGTTTTCCCTGCTCCCATAAAAATAGGGACAGTTTGGGAACTGTGCAGAAGTTTTCAATAAGGAGATTCTGATAATTATCAAACGTGGTTTCAGAGTGAAAGGGAGTAGGGACAGATGGATATTGGGAAGGAATTCTTGGCTGGGAGGGGGATCCAGCACTGAGCTCCTCCCAGAGCTTCCTTCCCAAAAGCCATCCAGCTGAAAGCATCCATCCCAGAAGTGTAACAGAGCTGGGAAGGGGCTGGAGCAGCAGGAGCAGCTGAGGGAGCTGGGGGGGCTCAGCCTGGAGAAAAGGAGGCTCAGGGGGGACCTTCTGGCTCTGCAATCCCTGACAGGAGGGGGGAGCCGGGGGGGGGTCGGGCTCTGCTCCCAGGGAACAGGGACAGGAGGAGAGGGAACGGCCTCCAGCTGTGCCAGGGGAGGGGCAGGT